TTTTTTTTTTTTTTTTTTTTTTTGCTTTTTCAGAAGTTGATTGTAAAATATAGTGGGGGATCTTCTCATAGTCCTCAGTAAATTAAAAAAAGGGGGCCATATGTTTTGTTTCCTGCTTCAAATATTTGAGAATTCAAATTCAGCATATATTAATGGCAAGATCCAAACTTTATCGTCATTCTGAAGTTGTTTATATTTTTAGAAAAATGAAGAATGGGAACTTTGTCAATATCTAAAACTGATGGGAATGATGATACTAAAATTAATTATTTCCATTTCTGTCACCAGGAGATTTCACATGTCTAGTTAAAGCAGAATTCCCTTCAAACTGTGTCGCCTACATCTCTCACATTATAAAGTGGCAGTCTGTTAGCTTAATATGACCCATAAATAAGTTTTGTTTTCGCCATACATACACGGTGTTTAAAATAATAGCACATTTGAAAATCCAGCCCAGAAGACCCAGAAGAACAGAGGATATGGTAACACAAGGCCCACTCTCTTCCTTAACTACTGTAGGCTCTTGATGTCCCTTTTGAATTGGACATTTGTTCCCTAGACACTGTCTAGGACCCAGTGTTACCAGTGTGTCATCTTTTCTAATTGAAGGTTTGTATTTGAAGAGACTTCTAGCTTTTCAAAACTGAGGCAAGGAATCAATGTTAAAGCCTTATTTATGGAAAAGATTTAACTGGAAAGTAGTTACCTAAATACTTAAAAGTGTCATGAATATTGAGTAGCTTACCAGGAAATCAAGATATGAGCCAATTGTACCAGACAGTATTTCTGAAACCTTGGGAATAGATGTGATTATGGTGTGTGTAGTGTTTACAGCAAGTATATTTTCTGCAATGCATAAAAGTTTTTAGCCACATAATTTGATGGGGAAAGAAAGTATTGTCCTACTGCTAAAGGAACTATACTCTTGAGGCATTGAGATTCCTCATCCCTAGGACTTCCAGTTTAAGATTAAGTTACTAATATAAACTTTGGGGGGTGGAAATTCACTAATTCATTCTTTCAGTGTTAGAGCCCTGAGCAAAGGTATTTAAATATCCTATGAGACCCTATTTAAACCATCCATATGAGCATAGAGGATTTCTACAGTGCTGTTCATAGGTCTGTTTAAATTATGCTTAATGCCACAAATTAGTACTGTTGACTTTAAAAAGCTATAACTTTGTTTTCTTTAATACAGACAACAAAAAGCGGCCCATAATCTCACTGCTCTGTGGACATTTTTCTTTTTAAACAATAAAAGTAATAGGCACACGTGATTAGAAATTGCAGACAGTACAGGAAGGTACAAAATGGAAACCAAAGGCTTCCACACCTGCACCCCCTGAAGAAGGTTTCTTGTGACTATTCCCAGACAGAATTTCTATGCATGTGCTAGTATATAAAACCACTGGCTTTTATATAAGGATGTTGTTGAATTTTTATTAAATGGGTTTGTTTCTTAATGTGGTTTATTTGCCTTGTGTTTAAATATTGCATGGTAAAGTTTCTTTTGTGCATATTATACTTTTATTTTACTAATATATTAAAAGCCATATTTCAATGACCCCTGTACATTTTTCATGCTGTCTTACTCCCAATGGCCTCTGTGCATGTAAGTAACCTGTTGAGTGACTATGCCTCTTTGTTTTTGATGGTTTCCTTTCATTAAGTCCTTTTTGTTAAATCAGCCAACATCTTAAAACCTTTAAAAGTCCCATCTTTATCTGTTCTCCTTATAGTCCTTGTATGTCTTCTTTTAAAATACAATTTTTTATTGTTTCTCAATCCTATGACCATGTGTTGATTTTCTTTAGACCAGAGTAACCTCTCCATGCCACTCATTTATGGTTAAGATATTGATGTGTAACATACCTGTTCATTTGTTTGTGGTGTTGATGGTTAGTATCTAACTCATTCCTGTGTGCGTGTTTTTTAAATGGCAAGTCTTATTTCAGTAGGATTGGAGTTAGGGCTCTGTAGAGGGAAAATGGGTGTATATACCATTCAGAAAGCTTGTGTCATTTTCTATCATCTTGCTCTTTTGTGAGATGCTTATTTTTATATATTAAAATCTGTCAGTTCGTTCATGCACCTCTTCCATAAGCATCTGTTTTCTTGATGGAAATATCACTCAGAGGGCAATAGGTAGAAAAAAGCAACACCGTAAGCACTCCTGATTTTATTTTTGCAATGCTCATCACTCCATTACCACCGCAGCATGACTAGCCAGCCCTGCTATGCAGAGAGCCTCATGTTCATTTTTATTTTGTAAGTCTGCTGTTCTAAACACAGAAAGCATTTCTTGGTTTTTAGCTGTTGCTAGAGAATATGCTCTAAAGACTTTTAGCCAACCTTTATGGAATCGAGTTATCAAAAGAAAACAAATGCATAAATACCCATTAACATGCACTAACCCTTATTTTAACATTGTATTTTTGTAATATTTTGGGAATGAGACTTTTGTTCATTTGTTTGTTTCTGATCTGTTTCATTCGAGAGTATCCTATTTTGCATTTTAAGGTTCTTTGCTACTGAGATGATCACAAATGTCAAGGACTGAGCTGGTATTCAAAAGCACTTGGCCATATTGTTTCAGAGAGTAGAAGCTGCTCTTAATGATTAACTGAAAGGCCCGATTCCTTTATTATACCAGGGAATCAATTTTGTTGAATTTCTTTCAACCCCTCTAAAATCCATAATATATTCCATAGCCTTTAAAAAAGAAATTTCAGTGTGCCTGACAACATTTGGGTATTACCACACAGAAAAATATTACAGGAAACATAGATATATGATTTTCACCTTCTTGTGAGAATTTTCAAATGTGTATGAAAATTGGACTACCTTGAACTTCAACAGGAATGGTTATCCTCTCAGGAAAGTTTCTACAATAGTTTTGTTAAGAAGCAAGTTTCCCAAAAATATTCTCGAAGTATTCCTTCTCAGTCTGTAATGATTAGAGAACTCCCTTTTGCAAAGGTTTTCAGGCTCAGGCTCCGCTTCATGCTTCTTTCCATTCTGTTCATCCTGATTTACTACACACAGGCTGACAAAGTCTGGGGCCCAGGGAAGCATGTTCTCCTACTTCTTCCATTCCCAAGACTTTCCATCGGATGGACAGCTGGGTTACAATAAAACTCGTAAGGTACTCATTTCAAAAGCCTGTGAAATCATAGTCACAGGACTTAACCTTGAAAGAATCTACCATGCTGCCTTCAGCAACTCTTGAAAGAAAGAACCATGAAGTTAAAGACCAGCTGTCCATGCATCCCACACCCATCCCTAGAATATCTAGCTGGCCCCTTTCTCGGTTCACTTTAGTTGCATTCATTTTACATTCATGTCGGTCACTGTCTGCAGACTTTTTCCTTTTAGTATTGCTGATTTCGTAGAATTCCAAAAATATGAACAGCATGTGGTTTTGAATGAATTCATGCAATGTGTGGGATACTGCATGAAAAGATATGCAGTATCTTTTAGAATTGGACTTTTATGCATGTGCTCAACATATCTTTGGATGTCCCTGCTTCCAAAGTGCATTTTCATGGGCTTAAAAAGGAAATTTTCTCCCAAAGGTTGTATGATTTAAATGTATTATAAGTTGGATTCATATTTTTTAAGACACGGTTTTACTATTACTTTAGTTTTGCCAGTAAAATTATAATTTATATACATGAAATATTCTTTCTGCAAATTTATCTCTTCTAACTCTTTGCATTTTAGTGTTTGATCAATTAGATCTTGTTACATATGAAGAAGTAGTAAAACTGCCAGCATTCAAAAGGAAAACACTAGTCTTATTAGGTAAGTCTAATTGGGTAAACACCTGGCTGTCTTATTCTCATCTTCAAAACATTTTGTGAATATTATTAACAAATGTCCATTTTAACTTCCTTTTTTTAAAACGGCATAGGTGCGCATGGAGTTGGGAGAAGACACATAAAAAACACCCTCATCACAAAGCACCCAGACCGATTTGCGTACCCTATTCCACGTAAGCAATGTCTCTCTTTTAACTATATTTTTTCTAGTACTTGTTTAATATTGTAATTTATATATTTTTTGAGATTACACTAGTAATAATGGTTCACCATAAGAAATTTGGAAGATCCAAAAAAATAACAAAGAACAAAATGAGTTCATAATCCCAACCCTACTCCCCTAATAATAGTACTATAAATAGTTTGTTTTATACCCTTCCAGGCTTCTCTTAGTGCAAATATGTGTAATGTGTGTTTGGTGGTGGTTGTTTTTGAACCAAATTGGGCTCATCCATTCTGTTTGTAACCTGATTTTTTCAACAGTATGTCATAAAAATTACTCAGATAAACTATTCTTTAGAAAAATAGGTTTTAATAATAGCATAGTTTTCTTTGATATAACAATATTTTTGTTACTTACTAAATTGTTGGCTTTTATCACTTTCAAAATCCAGTCAATGTGCTGCCAGTTGTTTATTAGAAAGAGCTTTAAATCTATAATATTTTTATCCTCCTTAATCTTCTACATCTTATCCTTAACCTCTTGCCCTCTTTGTTCCCTCAACTATAAAATGAAGTAAGTCGGGAGATATAAAGAGGATTTGAGATCATGAGAAGCACTTAGCAGATACTAGATAAATAGTAGCCATCTTACCACTATTATAGTATTACTACTGCAAAGTTTAAAATTTGAATCCCAAAAGCTTTCTTGTAGTTAGAGCTTTGTTCGGGATGAGAAGAATTAGAGAATGAGTTTTAAGAGCATCAGGAGACAAATGTGAAGATTGGCTCTGTCCTGTAGGGCCTTCCATGTTTCCTGAAGCCATGTAAATACCACTTACTATTTTCTCTATACCCCAGCGAGCCATGAGGCTTCATAACACCACCCTCATCCCAAACACTGTCTGATTTACACACACAAAAAGAAATTCATCCAATATTGTTTCAACTGGTGCCACTGGGGTTTTCTGATAAAACACCTTCAAATGTTCTTTTAATTCTCTTTATGTCTAGATCATGAATACAGTAAGCTGAGCCAACATTTGGTTTCTTTTCGATTACATAACAATTGAACACATAACAATTTAATGTTATTAAGTGGCCAATTAACTAGCTTGGTTTTATTTTTTTAATATTTTTTTATTGAATTTAGAGGAAGGGAGAGTGAGAGAGGGATAGAAACATCGATGAGAGAGAGTCATTGATCAGCTGCCCCTGCACACCCCCTACTGGGGATCGAGCCCACAACCTGGGCATGTGCCCTGACCAGGAATCAAACCGCAATCTGGTTCATGGGTCGATGCTCGACCCCTGCGCCACACTGGCCAGGCACTAGCTTGGTTTTGAAGTGTACCATTGCTGACCTCAGTCATGTCTACTCTGAAGTATTTGGCCCCAGCTGTGTATATATCATATGTTTACCTACCAGAATGACTGAAAATAGTACAGCATCCATGCAGTATATGCCATTTATTCAGCTTTTCTTGTACCTGGAGAAGGGATTCCTTTTTAAAAACATCTACATTTTGATGTCCATGAGCACATGGTAGTTCTAATAGTCTAGTTGGGGCAGGAGAGGGGGAATTCTCTATGGGTTTGGATACACCCACACAGCAAAGAGTAGCATAAATTTGTCCTTGCCGCTCAAGGAAGGAAGCAAGAAAGCAAGAAGGGGGAAAAAAAGGAAATTGAAAGAAAGAAGGGAGAAAGGAAGGAAGGAGAAGGAGGGAGAGAGGGAGGGAGAAAGGGAGGGAGAGAGGGAAGGGGAGGGGAGGGGAGGGGGAAAGGAGAAAGAAAAGAGAGGAAAGAAAGAGGGCAAAGAAAGGAGGTGGGGGTAAAGAAAATCAAAACCAATGTTCCTGGCTTGCCTAGAAAAATTTCCTAAACTGTGTTTTGCAGAATACTGGTCCTATTAGTGTCCCACAGAACTAGGATTTACCAACAGACATTTCAGTCTATACTCCCTTAGGTCAAGGGTCAGCAGACCTTTTCTGTAAAGGACCGTATAGGCAATATTTGAGGCTTTGAGGGCCATACGGTCTCTGTCACAACTACTCAACTCTGCCATTGTAGCATGAAATTAGCCATAGACAATATGTAAAGAAATGGGCATGGCTGTCTTCCAATGAAACTTTATTTACAAAAACAGCAGGCCATATTTGGCCCACAAACCATAGTTTGCCAATTCCTGGTTAAGGTCTTTCTTAACTATTATGGCCACATCTGGCTAAGATCATTGTGTTTTCAGTATGGTATGCCTTTTGCTGTATTCTAACTTTCTCCTTTTGCTAGATGCTGTAGACAAGCAGTGCCCAATAGAACCTTCTCTGATAATAACATGCTCGGTATCTGCACTGTCCGGTACAGTAGCCATTGGCCACATGTGGCTACTGAACCCTGGGAATGTGGCTACTGAGACTGAAGAACTGAAATTTTAATTTATGTAATTTTTAATTATTTTAAATTTAAATAACCATATGTAGTTTTCTATCTTTTAAATTCTTTTTTCCTTCTGCCTAACTGCATTAAAGCATACAGTGAGTTAAGTTAATCTTGGTCATCTTGTGTTTTTTTCATGTGGTGACCCAGGAAGGAATGAAAGAGATCTTATCTAAACACTGAAAGATGCACCAAATCACACAACTAACTAGCTACTGTGGTCTGATGTCACGCAGATAAATACGACTTCTACAATTTAGTCCTACAAAGCTACTGGGTGTGGGAACAGGGCATGAGGCATACACTACGGAATCCAGAGCTTTTAAGCAGAGATTGGGTTGGGGTAGGCCCACTGGGAACGTAGGCTCAGAAGCTCAGCCTTTTAATCCTCTCTTGACATGTGACTGTGCAGATACAACCAGACCTCCAAAGAAAGATGAAGAAAATGGAAAGAATTACTACTTTGTATCTCATGACCAAATGATGCAAGACATCTCTAATAATGAGTACTTGGAGTATGGCAGCCACGAGGATGCGATGTACGGGACAAAACTGGAGACCATCCGGAAGATCCACGAGCAGGGGTTGATTGCGATACTGGACGTGGAGCCTCAGGTAATGCCCGGCCACCCCCAGCCCCCCATCATCCTGCCTGCGTGCTGAGCTCAGGTCTTGAAATCAAAATGCCATCAGAACGTCATGGGTCACATAATTGAATAAACTACAGGAAAGTGTCAGTAATGAAGGCATCATGGGCTAACAGTCTAGACTACAAACTAATTGTTGGAGTCAGTGCACACACCGTGTATTTCAGAAGCAGAGACTATTCTCTTACGAGATTCCTTATACTCGGGTGCTCAATGAAGTACCTGATTGGTCTGTGCCTGCCAGAAACCCTACAGTAATCTGACCTCGGGGTGAGACTCTGGCACTTTGTTATCCCAACGGCCACCTCTACATCTCGGTACAGCTCATGCTGGACCATCAGAGCCTCTGCCGGCATCTTATGTTAATCCCCAGGGAGAAGCTCTGACCCTGGGGCCTGGGTCTGAAACACAGCACTAGCTTT